TGGCAGTCAAGCCAAACAGCTATGCCGTGGATATTTTCCAATTGGCTTATCGAGTAGATTAGATGATCTTTAGTTTCAACGACTGTGCGTCGTGACTACAGGTACTGGTTGAAGTAGCTGATTATGTTCAAACACTTCACAGTAACCCTTGATTTACGTTCGCCGTTGCATGCCTTATTTTGGTTTAAGCGTCTTAATATGAGAATGTATATTCACCAACAGCCCCTGCATGTTGTACATGTTGGATATTTGAACAAAATAACTGTGGGAGAGAGTTGGAAAGCAGCATGAATGCATAGTGCAAAGGTGGTCATTTATGCCTTCGCAGCTTTGGTTTCATGCTCTTTTAAGGAGGGGATTTCACGAATTTCAATTGGTTGTGGTACGTTTTTACAGCTTATTAACTGCTATCATTTTTTCTGAAACCTCCTTGAATAAAATGCAAGATAACAAAATGATTTAATCCTTAATATCGGGCGGGTATGCCCTTATACTCATGCTAATAAAATGTGGTATTCATTCTTGCTTTGTTATATTCCAGGTTTTAAAAATAACAGTCTTCGTTGTGAATGTGGTTGCAGCTATATTGTTTTAAGAATCAGTGATTAATGCAGGCCCAAATGTGAGCTGCTCAACTGACATCAAGTGACATGCTTATCATGGGGAAAAATCCCAGTTTATGAGAGGTTGCAAAGCTGGAACTTTGCGTCTTCGATGAGCCAGTGCATTGTCCTCCTAGGTCATCGATCATAAGGACTTTTTAAATTGGCAGAAGATTTTATCATTATGCTACATAGACAACAGGCTATTCGCAGTATCATAGTCGGAAACCATACTGTTTTTTATTCTTGGGACAATTCTTAATCGACAACAGATTCCCTATCCGCGCAAGCTGTCGTGCCAGTTAATCCGTTGGGTTTTCAGTCTCCAAGTCCAGACTTGTCCGTCAATTCGTCTCAGCCGAAACCACAACCCATCAGTTAGGATATATTTTCTTCCTTGAAGAAGACGATTGCATAAAAACGTTCACAGATTACAGAACAAAGTGGTCCTCTTCCAATGAACCTGGACATTTTACATGATCTCCCGCCATTTAAATGCCCTTTTTTAGGACTATCTGCAACGATAGGAATCGGGAATTATAAATAAAGCTTGAGTTAGAGGACTGAAAGGGATGAGAACCCTCTAAAACGAACGCGTTTTAGGAATCATCTTTGACAGCTGAAGCTACTCGAACTCATATGTTGGCTTTTATCCTTCCAGTTATCACAAGACCATGGTCCTGATTTTCCCCAAACACTTGGCCATTCAGTGCTAAGCTTCGCCCACAGCACTAACAGTGAATGTTGAGGAATTCGACTTTAATAAGCAGTGTAAATAGTGAGTCATTTTTAAGTGACCGGCTAATAGGAGATATTCAGAGGCGCCTCGTCTAGACTATTCGAAACCGCATGACCTTAAGCTAATTTGGCCGAAAACATTTTCTGTATTTTTTCACAAACACGGCTATTGAACACGACTATGCAACTGCACTATTCATATGACATTCTCTTATATGGATTATGATGCACGCAGCAGAAAGTGAAATTGCCTTTAAAATTGACGTTTTCACAGTTATCTTACTTGGGTTTTCTTACATGAATTATAATAACTTACAGGACAGGAAAACTTCAAATTAACGTTTTAGCTGCGGTCTTCCCACGGCCGACAACAAGCGATGCACCATTTTGTCTCTGCTTCATTCCCATGGGAGTTTTCATAACATACGTGACGTAAGCTTAAATCATAAAGTTCATCGGCACTGACTTTTTGATGACGATGGACCTGCGCGTTCTTACAGAATCTTCAAGTCTTTCACATTGCACGAGTTAGAACCCCCATTAGTGTGGCAAATGCAGATGTGCCGTCTCTTGGTAGTGCTTAAAGCGATAACGAAAACATTGTGGTCGTGAAGAAGAGGGGCCTTGATGGAGGAGTATTTTTCGTATGACGGTTAAAGCGTACACTGAGCTGTCAGATTTATAATTGGACTAAGGCTTGTCAAAAAAGATTATGGAGCATCTCTAAAAAATAAACCTCTATCGACAAAAATGAGGGACGTTTGTTTAAAACCTATTTGGAAAATATCAATAGAATGCTAGTACAATGTTATGGTCCGGTTAGCAAAGCAAATGCATTACGAGTGAAATAGTTACTTTTATGTTCTTTCATGGATTTCTTACAATTTAGGGTGTCTTAGGGAATTTTAGCAACCTTTTCCCAGACTTCTGCCGCCCATTTAGAGAACGTTCGAATCGTGGGAAGAGGTCGAGATAAAAATCTATTTTATTTCTGAAACCAGTAGGTAGCTGGTGCGCGCCCTTCGCCGACTTTTCTTGTGTTTTTTTAGACGCGAGGACAGTTTTTAATGCAGTAAAGGAGGCTACTTTAGATAGCTGTGGATGGATGAATGCTCTTAATAGGCGGCTTTGTATGTATCAAACAGTCGACTGATATCACTAAGAAAAGGTTATGAGAATTCTAACGGTTGAAAGTTTGAGTTCATTGATCACTCTTTAGTATCAACATAGCAACGAAAATCTCGAATTAGAATACCCTGTCATTAATTTGGTAGTGAGCAAGCCAACTTGATCATGCAAAGTACAGAGAAGCGAAGTTCTGAGGGGTATAACTGTGGTTATCACATTCGCTTTTCTTCATACATATACGCCTTGATGATTTAAGCTGTAATTAAATTGATTAATATTCTCGCACATTAAGATGATATAAATTTTTCGAAGCAATCCCAACAAAGCCTTTCAGACCGGCTACGGGATACCAGACAAATTTTCTAATTGCCTACGCCAACAAATGCTAGTAAAAGGCGAGGCAGTGGCTATAGAACTAACTAATCTGGTGCCGTGCTGTTAAGGACGCAAATACAGGAAATTTCTCTTTTCCGGCCAATGTGGACGCCATATGGCGATCGCATATCGGTCTGTCCCATGGTGAAAGTTTTTGGCATCGTGACCGTGAGGTTCACTCCGTTTACTCGACCCGTGACCATTTCTCATAGCCTACGTTATTCGTCTCCAGCCCCCATCCTGATGACCCCAACGTGCCGAGGCCACCATGCGCGTGGTGTGAGAACGATGTGCTATCAATATAAAATATTTATACACCCTATGCTCCCGATTTCATCAGCGATACCATTGTATTGGTTCGACGATCGA